CTTATACTTATCCTTTTTTCTATATATATTGGTAGTTGCTAACATTTCAGAACCAAGTGAAATCATTCACAACCTGAAGCATTCAAAAGTCATAAGCCTTAACTTTCAAGTTTTCTTTAGACCATTTTCTTCTCAAGTCTCCACAAGTAGAATACAACAATGGGTTTTCGTTTAGCCGGTATCAGAAGGGCATCAACATCTGCAAACCAATCATCTTCAAAAGCAGTGGAGGTGCCAAAGGGCTATCTTGCGGTATACGTGGGAGAGAGAATGAAGCGGTTTGTGATCCCCATTTCATACTTGATCCATCCTTCATTCCAAGATTTGTTGAGTCAATCTGAGGAAGAGTTTGGATTTGATCATCCCATGGGTGGTCTAACGATTCCTTGCAGCGAAGAAGTCTTCCAAAATATAACTTCACTCTTGAATAGACCATAATCTTGTACTTTAGAAGATTGAAAAAAAATTGTAGAGACATTTTGTACAATTGTCGTCTCCTCAATTTGTAAAGATCTCTTTTTGAGAAATAGGAAAATACAAAACAAACACTCTTAGAATGACAAATTTGTTACTTTTCTTTGTTTAATGCAAAGATTTCAACTTTACTCAAGTGGCTCCTATCTGTTTTTTTTTCTTTTATTATTATTAAATAATCTCTTAACTTCATTTTTATTGATCAGATGATAATCTAAAAATTTTGTCTTAGACAAGAGTTATCAGAAAACTTTTCCAAATCAAACTCTTAAAATCTTTTTTTATACATGGATTCAGTTTTATTTATTTTTTAATACTTTATGAAGAGAAATGGTTGTTCCAAAGATAATTTGCTTTTATAACATCTTTCCATTGTTTTTTTTTTTTTTGGTAAAGATAGGAAAAATTACAAAGATGATCGCAATGAAGATTGAACCTAGGTCCTCATGCTTCTAACTATCTCAACCCCTCTCCACTCAACCACTAGGCTAACCCTAGTGGTTTTCCATTGTTAGAAATAGAATCAATATAGTTGCAATTAATATAATTTTCTCAACAAACAATATTTCTTTTAAAGATAAAAATAGAATGATTAAGGTAATATAAAAAGAGTTAATCACCTATACACTGTCAGTGTAAATTTTTTTTACACTGACAACCAATTATATCTTTTAATTGTGTCATGTCACTGTTAAAAATAAATGTGTTTATAGTGACATGACACAATTAAAATATATAATTAGTTGCCAGTGTAAAAAAATTTTACACTGACAGTGTATAAGTGATTAACTCATATAAAAATCATCGTAACTTTAAATATATTAATCTAAAAGTCACTTTAAAAATAGAGTTGAGTTGCATAAATGGAGTGGAGATGGAGGAAGAATTTTCATTCCAAGTCCACTCTTCACAACATTAAAATATTAGATGGAGTGAACTAGTGAAGTGTCAAGGTGGTAGATCTCTGTGGTTTTTATTTGGGATATATACTACTACCCCCATACTCCAATATTAAATCCATCCCCGCACTATATCGCTTCTCCCTTTAAAGAGATGGTATATTGAGCTTCATACCCTCAATTTTGTCCTCTCTAGTATGATCCTCAATATTTCTTCTTCCTCCATCATCATCACGATTCCCTTGATTTTGTAGCTACTCAAATTCTCCCATATAACTCTTCAATGTGACCATTCATCATCCTTTGCATTTGAGTTGTAATTACATTAATTAGCAGCCTAATGTCTCCAACATGAGTAGGGGTAACTTGAGAGTTATTTGTATATGTAACATTTATAAGACTTTGTCAAAGGCACAATACTTGCAGATAGTGTCGTTGTGTGTCGGACTGTCAATTGTACGAGTTCTTTGTAATCACGAATTTTGTGTTGTGAAGGGGTGGTTGAAATATTGTAAGTGGCTTTCCATTCCAAAAATGTTACCTGAAGAAACTTGATATATGGTATGCTTAATATCTGTGAATGCATTTGGTAACAGAAACAATTCCCCTCTTTCACGTGGATGACATAATTTATAAAATAAGAAGAAAAAAATTAAAGCTGTGAAATATTGTGTAACGAGAAAAATCTTTCATATTTTTCATTTTAATTAAATTAATTTACATGCAACTGTACAAAATATAAAAATGTTGAATAAGAAAATTAAGTTCAACTCAATTTGTTGATTGAAGTCACTGTTTGTGTTCTACTAATTAAGTTGATCTTTGGTATCGAATTGTTAAAGTTAAATTATTGTTTTATTTATCTTTTTTAATTAGTTTAATTTGGTTCTTTCATTACTAAAAAATTTATTTTGATCCCTTAATTTTTAAAAATAATATAATATTATCAATACTATTTAAATAAGATAAATAACATTAATTATTTATACATAATATGTAAAAGGACAATATTGTGTCATTTTTAAAAATTAAGGAATCATGTTAATATTTTATTGAATGCTTTTTTTTCCTCTTTTCTATGTATTATGTGATTTTAGTTTCCTAAATTTAGTTAAATTATTTTAGTTCTTTAAGTATCATAATTATGTGATTTTAATCCTTTAATTTTTAATTAAGTAATTTTAGTTTTTTAAGTATTACAATGGTGTTATTTTATTTTATCTCTTCTATTAAAAATTTAACAATTTTTGTTGATGCGGCATTAACTGGATGATATGATGCATTAATATTTCTAATTAACTTTGTTTTAATATATTTCTATTTTTGTAAAAATATGTTAATATACACAAAGTTATATTTATGTTATTAATTATCTATAAATATATCAATAATATTATTTATATTAATTTATTAATAATATTATAATACTAATAATATGTATAAATTTTATTTACTTAATAATGATAAGTTTATATCATTAATTGGTACATGAATTATAATTTAGTTATAATATATGTAACTTAAATAGGTTAATAATATTATAATTTTAAAACACTATATTTGTGTGATTATTATTTTAAAATTATTATATTTTTAATGGAAGAGACTAAAATCATACAATTGCAATATTTAAGACTAAAATTATTTAATTAAAATTTTGAGATCCAAAAGTTGCATAACTATTGAGAGATTAAAATTGTTCAATTAAAATTTTGAAGACCAAAATTACACAATTTATGTATATTTTTTTCATAAAAAAGTATTCGTGGAATATATAATACTTTTATATTTATTATACCTGATTAAAAATAATTATTAACATTTTTGCTTTATTTATTTGAAAAAATTTTGCCCCCCTAACGACTTTTTTCTAGTTGTGTCCCTGTAACTATGATAGTTTTTTTATCCCACTCAATGAAGGGATGTTTTATATTTGTTTTTGTGCAGATATATTTATTTAAGAGCAACATGATATATTCTTCTACATTTTATATGATATTATTCACTTTAAATTTAAAATTTTTAAAATTTATTTTTGATAATTATCTAAAAGATTTCGTACTAATAAAAATTGTGTGTACGTTTATCCTCCTCTTATAATAATGTGGAACTTTATTTTATCCTACCACACAAGCTCAGATTGGTCAAGAAAGGGCAAATAGAATTGGTCCATAAAGGTTTTTAAGAATGTTACTCTGACGTCAGTGTATTTTAACGTATATTTCTACCTTCGTTATAAATAAATAAATAAGAATAATTATTTATTCCTTTAAATAAGATTTAATTATTTCATATATTAATTATTTTTAAGTTAAAATATATATAATTAAAGTGTGTTTTATTAATTTGATAAAAATATATTAATTATAAATTCTTTAAAAAAGATACACTCTAATTAATTAAAAAAAATATGAGTATTAATTAGAAGAGAGAAATAATATAAGATATACTCTAATTAATCATAAGATATATGAATATTAATTATAAAAGAGAAATATTATAAGAGTTGTATTAGGAAAAAAATATATAAAAAAATAAATTTATTAATATCAACTAAATTAATTACTTTCTTAATCTTGATGAATTAGTTAATTAGATCTTATAAAATAGCATTGTATAACTATTTATATAATTTAAAACATTAAAAGAGATACAAACTTAGTAAAATGTGTATCATACGTCATAGGTTTAAAAAGAAAAAGAAAATGACTTTAAAATGACTCACTCCTATTTAATTTATTTTTATTTTTATTTTTAATATAGATTACAAGGGCGATAATAAATATTCAACGTGCATCTACTCCAATCCCTTTCTCTTAATTACTTGGCTAACTTATGGTTATTAATTAATTTAATTTAAAGTGTATTTAACTTTATAAATTTATGAGTAATATATATCATTAAATGCATTTTAGGGACATAGTTTGATTAAAAAACCTTTTTTTTATTACCTCAATTCCATAAAATCCATTGTTATAAGAACGGGAAATAACATTCCAATCACTTATGTAGATGAAGTTAAACAGTTTTCCCAAAAAAATCCATACTATTTGGAATAAATACACATACAGTACTACATGAGTAGACAAAGAGTCAGAGGTAATATATAGAGACATGCTGAGTTAAACTTAAAAGGGTAGAGTCAATAAGAGTGTAGGGA